TGATGTATCCCAGCTCTCTTCAATATGACGAAATCAGGATATGTTAGAAAAAGATAAACATAAACATCTCTGTACATTTCAAGGTACTGTTGCGTTGCTTGATCACAAATCCAGTTCAGATGATTTTTCATTCTTCTCTTTTAGACTAAACATCTGCCCAACATCTGGTCACAGTGGTTGTCCTTTCCTGCTGACAGTAGTGAGCGCTAAACTAAACCAGACAATGAGGTTTTCTTCATTCACACACCAAAAACTTCTTCCGATCACAAACAGCTGCTTTCTCATTCTACTTCATTAATTATTCAAATCCCTCCTGCATGGAGGAAAGCAAGCTCAGACTATATTAGGAATGAAAGTTCATTAGATGTCTGGAAATGGTCCAGAAACAATATTACAGTTTAATTTATCACACAGACCGTTTTGTCTCAAGACCAGCAGATAAATGTAAGTGAAATTTCAAAGTGTTCTCCTCCTGAGGAAAGCTGAAAAGAAACCATGTGCTATAAATTAATCCACTTCTGCACCTCCTTTCTATTTTATAATTCATCTATGTTATCTTGTCTCAGTGAAAGATAGAGGCCATTATTGAGCAATAAGAAACAAAAGAACCCCACTCCATTAACAGAATTTATTATCCATTACCAGTGCTTATTAAATCAAACCAAGGTAGATACCTGGCTATTAGGTAACGGCCATTAAATCATAGAAAATCTGATTTAGGAAAAACAAGACCAGAACATGGGATTATCCAAGATGCCACAATTGGTACATGAGGAACTTTGTATTTGATGTTAAGTGTTCTGTTTTGGAGAGGATAAGCCACACTGTCTATGCCCCTGTAAACATAAAACTCAAATTAGAGGAAAAATGATTTAAAAGACATGTTTAAAAAATTTTTATACTGTATTTGGGTTAAGAAAAAAAGACTCTCAGCTGCAGGTTTGATACATCTACATGCATAACATCTGAAAGCAAAAAATCTAATTGGAACTGGCAAACTGTGACAGAAAGCACAGCAGTTTATAACCTGACTGCATTCCAGGGGAAACATAAGCCGTTTAGCTGTAGAGAAACCTCACTTTTCACCCTGAGAAATCCGGTCCTGCAGCAATGGGAGAAAAAATATATAGAAACATATCTGCAGTATTGTGGCTTTTAGAAATTATGTAGTTTTTGACTAATTACACTGAGTATTTTCAAACTACTTCAATTAAAACAGTAGCTACAGCTAATGAGGACCAAAAATTATATATAAGTTTTATACATTACTTTGGACCAATGAAAAGTATGGAAATGCAATGTCATGACAGATTATTTTATCTATTTTATCATATGATGTAGTTTTCTAACCCACATTAACCTCTTAATATCCACCTAAATTTGGTTAATCATCGCCTATTTTCCATACCCAAGGGAAAAGCAAATTAGGAACTATAAGCCCAAATTACATGTGCAATACATTATTTGAAAGCTAAAACCCTCTAGTTTCCTAATATATAAATTTAAATCGGGTGACTAGAACACAGACCAACCTGCATCAGTTCAAACAGGACTCAAAGTTGTTGTTTTTTATTCTCGGAAATGATAGGTCTTTAAACAGCAGTAATAAAGACATTCTTTAGAAAAAGCAGGTTTTATTGTATCATGTCAACCACAAATGCAGAAAATGTCAGACCTCTAGCTATTACAGTTCCAGAGCTGTGGGGTATGGAACTTTTGGTATCAGTTTGGAGCTGCGTCCCCGTTCCCGTCGGAATTTTATGCATTCTGAATTAATACCCCCACTTAAGGTCCACCAGGTCGCCGGCGACCTGTTGGGTTGGAAGAGGTTAAAGTTAAGTGGAAGGAAAACAATATGTGGCAGAAAAAGGTGTAAACACAAGAACCATGGCCTTGAGATGGGCTAGTTCATTAAAGAATGTGGTGCAGATTAGATGTGTTTTGTAAAATAAAAGTTAATAATTCACGAGCCACAGCACACAGACATATCAAAGATGTGGGCTGCACTTTGCTGAACCAGAAACATTAACTGTCTTACTTGAGCTAATGATTTTCAAATCAAAACCCCCTGCATAAAAAATGGAGAGAGAAAGAATCCAGGTTGTTTGAGATCCAGTAAGAAGTTTCAGTTGTCAGGGATCATTTGATTTGTTTTGACATTCGCTAGTGTAGGTCCCCTGTGCTTTGAATTTTAAAGTTAGTCCAACTATTAATCAGAATATTTTCTTTTATTGAAACATCTAATTTAAGTCTCGCTTACAAGAGAGACCTATAACAGGAACGCAAGAAATCTTAAAGAACTTCATGCTTCCCTCTGCTGACAAGCATTATGGAGATGCCGATTTTCCTTTACAGTAGAAATTGTCTCTCCTCACAATGCCAAAAGTACCAGTGCCTGATTTAATGACCATAATATAACTCTGCATGATAAACAACCAAACTATGCTGAACGAAACCCATTGAAAATCTTTGGAGTATGTCAAAACAAGCATAGGCAAAACTTTCATGCGACTTTACAAAGATTCAGCAATTCCTTTACAAAGATATCCAACTAAGAACTCTGCATAAATACTTAAACAATAGCTATGAATATGTCACTCTGTGCACAAAGCATCTACATAATATATAAGGAATTCTGTTTTTTATTGAGTTATTTAAATAGATTGCTTTTAAAAAAAACTTTCTCAAATGTATGTATGTATATGACATTTATTGTAAAGTCTAAATAATTGTTTTCAATATCTGTTTTCATTTTCTTTTAAATAATCTATTTGATGTTTCTTAAGCCTCTCAACTCATGAAATATCACCACTGGCACTACATAGACATTAATTTGTATCACTGGCTGTTGTCTGGAGCCAACCCTGAAGAAAGACACTTTGCCTTCATTGTGTTGCTGCCTTGGTTGAGCCGCCCGTTTCATGACCGTGCATACTTGGTGCAAAAAGAGTCTTTTCATCTCAACTTTAAGGAGCAGTGATTCCTGCTGCCTCACATCACCACTTGCCGGTTAAGGGCAGGCCAGGCTTGGCTTGGTCAAAGTAGTTGCTTCCTGGAGGAGCTGGGTAATGACTGTTGATCATAAAACGCTGATGACCTCTCTGTCTCCAGGACAGGGAGGGGCTCTTACTCAGAGAGAGGAATTCAAAGTGATTACTCAAACATGGGTGGATCAATAAAAATAGCACTTAGGGCATGATTTTGATGAAGCAATATATTATAACGATATCATCAAAAGTTTTCAAAAGTTGATTTTTGCATAATATAAAAACATTTAAAAACATTTATGCACATTTATTGGTAACTGATTTATTGGTAACTGATTGGTTGCCAAGTCACATCTTCTCACATCTTCTTGTTTTAGTAGATCTTTCAACCAAATACCTTTGCAACTGGAAATATGGGCCAACTGAGATGTAGATAACACAGTTCTTTAATGTTTATGACTTTGGGTTAGTGCAAAAATAACATAATTCCTAATATCTCTTTAGCACTAAAACAGTTTTCAACTCCAGTAATAAAGGGAAGATGTTTATAACATTGCTGCTGAGAAGACCTATCTCTCTTTTAATGTTTTATAGCACAGTTTTATTTCATTTGCATAGTCTTTGACAAAATGATGCATGTTTGCATTTAATCGCACTCACACAGTGTTTTGCAGCACATGGGTTTCATTAGGACCCATAACTGTTTAAGATCCACTTGCATAGTGATCACTTTCAGTAGCAAACAAGCCTTCAGTACCATTCCTTCAAAGCCTTGTGTGTTCTTTCCCTATCAGTTGGAAAGTGGATGGTCGCTGACCTTTAAAAAGTCTTTGGAAGGTATGCCCAGGGTCAGATAACAAAGTCTGCACTGGGAAATAACTCACAAAAAAGGAAGGAGGCTTTTTCACATTGGGTGTGCTGTGAGATCAAGGTTGTGTCTGAGAGAGAAGGGAAACTGGAGGATATCGTTAGCAGGTCACTCACTTAGTTTGACCTTCGAAATTCCCTGTGCAAGCTGTCTTATCAGACTAACGTGAAACAGTGAGGCAGGACTGTGCCACTAGCTCTGCAAGCTTCTCAAGGGTCTTAGAAATGTGACTAAATACCACGGAGAAGATAGAGAATATGTAGAAAAATATGTACAAAAGGTTGAAGTATTTTATTGGTTATGAATTTTAGTGGTTTTCCTGCAATTTTACATCTAGCACATTGAAATCAAATGTAAAAACTCCCATGGGGGAAAGATCAGAATTTTATTCAACCAATGCTAATTTTCTGTTCCCATTTAATCCTTACAGGGTCAAGGGGTTCCCGATGTGTCCAGCAGCCTATGGGTGAGAGGATGGGTAAAACCTGGATAGGCTGCTGGTCCATCACAGGGCAACAAAAGGACAAACATCCATGTATGCACACATTTGGCCCTTAGGGCAATTTAGAGGGAACTGTATATAGACAGTTGCTGGAGTACCCAGAGAGAACCAACACAAGCATTACTATGGGATTTAACCCAGGGGCATCTTTCTTCAAGGCAACCGTGCCAACTACTGTCAAGAAATAAAAGACCATAAACCAAACTACACTAAAGACATCTTTGTAAGGAGACACTCAAAATAAATTAGCATTGTTTTTTTTTTTAAAGAGAACAGCGTGTTTCTACTCTTTTTGTGCCTTGTGCGTCAGTAACTGAATAATGCCTTTTTTTTCTTCTTTTCCTCTAAATTTCTACAATTGAACCATGGCTGGACTAAAGCTTAGTGTATGTTTCACATGACAGCTGGAATAAACCTCAGAAAGTGATACTTATTTACTTTTCTTGGAGCAGAAGCTTGATGCTTTTGTTGTTTATTTTGAACTCGATAACTTAGGCTTAGCAGCAAATGGTTTTATACAAAAAAAATGCATTCAATCAACATTAAACCTTAAAGACATTTCATCATTGCCAGTGAGTTAACAGTCATTTATGTATTCAAAAGGCAGAAGGATACAAATGTATAACAAACAACAATGAAGCTAAAGTAAAATTTCTACTGTTTTTATTATTAAACATAACACATGCTATACATTACAAAGCAAAGGGAATGCTTGTTGTCTTTCAAAGATAACTCTTTCTCTGTTCTTTTTTATCCTAATTAAACTTTTTTTTTAAAGCATAAAAGTTTAACACAAAACCAACTACAAAATAATATCAAAATAATACAGTAAAGAACATATATCTTCATACTAGTAACACATCAAATTTTATCCCTTGGTGTCCAGCTTTGGGTTTATTCATAGATGCACAATTGAATCTGAATTAATGCAATGAAATTTATGCAGTTTGCAGAAAAAGATGCATTCTTGAATGATGCTCAGCACAGCTCCCCCTCCATTAAAAAACAAAACAAAACTGCTATTGCAGTTTATTAACTCATAAAATGTGAGCTGCATCTGGGTTTTGCTGAAATACAGAGATTATGAACACATGGACATTTGTAACTGACATATAATTGATCATATAATTTACTGATATAGCATATTGTAACATTTAATAAATGAGAATGTGGAACAACATGAGCCTCCTGTTTTTGTTTTCTATGATCAGTAGTCTCAGCAGAAGCCTACAGATAAAAGTGGAACACATTTACATCCAAAGGTAACAGAAAGGAGAAAAAATAAAGTTTGACATCTTAAGTGGGGCCCTGCGAAGACTTTATGAGTTAATATTCTGTCTCTCTTGAGTTCCGGAGCATGGACCTTAAAACCATCTTAAAGCATCTTCAGTATTGCAATTTCATAGCAGTTTATGAGTACGCTAGTTTATGAATCCTTCAACTGTTTATAAACTTGTCTTCATGTTTGGTTTGAGCTTTAGGAGCAAAGACTGAGAATGGATGATCAAAAGGTTTCTGACGTAAAGAGCAGAAATATTATGGTGGTTTGGGTAAACTGGAGTATCTAATCTGGATTTACAATTAATAAAGATTTACACTGAATACAGACAGTTACTTAATGCAAAAAATAATTTAAGGATTCATAAAATTCAATGCTTTCAAGCTTTTTGGGGAGGGCAAGGTATGGGTAGCAGAAGCTCTGTTGGTTTATACCTAATTTAGAGATGGAAAAGCATTGCTAATATTTAAACAAAGATAAAAAAAAACTATTGAAAAGCATATTTTTGGATGTTTTCAAAAGAAATTTAACTTTTTCGAAGGCTTCAGCTGATGCAAAATGAGGTTATGAATCAAAATGAAGCAGCAGGACTAAAGCTTAAAGGAAATGTTTTCCCATTTGAGCAACTGTGCGAAGACTTTGTATCAAAACACAATAGAAGAACAGTGTAAAAAATTCATATAAATACAAAAAGGCAGATACAAAGGTATACTTATGATGATAATAATACACATCTCACACTTTACGGGTACACGCACACACTAATGCTCAGAACATCCATACATAATAAAAACCACTTTATACAATTTACACACAGTTTTGGCTTTACATATACAAGGATTTGTTAGTCAGCTGCTATTATAGACTGCTTTAAGTGCTTTTTGATCAGTCTTCAAGTTTTTCAAGGACTAAAGCAGATGTTTGTGAAAAAGATGCTGGATTGGTTTGTAGCAGATAAATCAAGTGTAGCACAAGTTCACACTCCACTAGACTCATGGAGATCAGATCAGAGGTGGGTTTTCTACAGCTGAGTATTCAGTCTCTGACACGTTATTAGTCTCAATGAGACGTGCAAGGCCAGTCCGAGTTGAGTATTTAAAAATGAAGGCCTTCATGAGGTCATAGCGGTAGTTTCGATTAATGAAGTTGTAGAGGATGGGGTTGAAGCAGCAGTGGAACAGGGACAGGCATTGGGTGAGGTGTAACACTATGAAGAGCACATTGTCCAGGCCACAAGTGAATGGCACCAGCTCCAGCTGCGTCAGCGCATCAACGAGCAGAGCGGCATGATAAGGCCCCCAGCAGGCTAGGAAAACCACAATGTAAGCTAGAATCACCCTGCGGCTTACACCGCGCTCCTGTTCCACATGGGAGGATGATGCTGATGATGAGCGCTTGAAAGCTCTGGCCAGTAGGATGTAAAACACTGCAATGACTGGGAAGGGAACAACAAAGCCCAGCAGGATGAAGCTGAGCTGCACTCCCGCCATCCACTTCAAGTGGTTTTCCTCTGGGTACACCGCCCTGCACATTATAGTGTCCCCGTGCGATGACTTCACAGCATGCAGGTAGTAGGTTTCAGGAGAAGATGCCACCAGAGCCAGAAGCCACACTCCAAAACATGCAGCGCGGCGGATCAACTTCCTGCGCGCACCTCCCTCCTCTCTGTGCTGCTTCACACTTAGGTAGCGGTCGACGCTCATGCACGCCAGGAAGAAGATGCTGCTGAAGAGGTTAACAGAGAAGAGCAGGTGTGTGAGTTTACAGGCCACTTCGCCAAATGGCCAGTGGCCATGCTGGGCCAGGGAGCTGACCCACACGGGAAGAGTGACACACACACATAAGTCTGCCACTGCCAAGTGGGCAATGTACATATGTGTCTCATGGCGAGGGGTGGAGTCTCTTTGGGCACGGATGTTCACCCAGAGGACCAGAGCATTAGCAGCCAGGCCGACAATGAAGATGAAGGTGTAGAGGACACACATGGAGTACAGCAGAGCATCGCGGTTAATAGATGTGGAACACAGCACCAAATCCACTCGTGTTATGTTGCTGAAAGAGTCGGAGACATTCAGGTCTCCAAGGGACTCCATCAGCTCCTCCAGGTCGGTGGCACTGAAGCTCATTTTGTAACACTAGGCAAAGGCCACAGACCACTGGGAGGTAATACAAACCAAAGAGCAAACTGCGGTAGATCCTGTAAAAACAGAAAAACAATATCATCAATTTTCATAAACAGCTTGCACAAGTAAGTGGAATCTACCAACTAAAACTGATATGCCATGGCTAATCAATTCAGTGCATTGAAAACAATCATCTTTGGTTTGAAAGCTGTTGGTGAAGAAAGAAGTTAATGTTATTTACAAGGAAACATTTTTTATATAAGTGTGCAGCTCATTGAGGCAGAGAAACAGTGAGAGAAAGCAGCACTTAAGGGATCAAACAGGATGACTGGACGTTATGCAGCATGCTTCATGTGTTTCTTTCTTAAAAGCTTTCAATCTCAGCCTCTTTGGAACTTGATGAATTTGGAAATGTTGCTTTTTTTATCTCATGCTTAATTGGCATGCATAATTAATGAAAGCTTAGGGTGAGGTTAAAGGATTTCCCAGGTTTCTTCTATATTTCTTTTAACACAATCCTTGAAACAAATCCTTATTTTCAGGTCAAAGGTTTTCAAACTGGAAATCTAAAATCAGCAACAAAATTCGGCTTGGTACACTTGTAGCTGAAGATTTATGCAGCTGCATCAAGCTTGTTTTATTTTACTACATCTGAACTAATAAAACATAAGACCCTGAAGAACCTATCCCTAATGTGGTTACGTTGTTAAAACACTGCATTCATGAGTTAATAACACCTCTCTGTTAGTCTGTCATAAATGGTGGGGTTTTTCAATGATTGATGTGCACTCTGGGGGACGCACAATAAATGTTTATATTAGCTCCACTGGCAGAGAGAGCAGAGTGGACATAAGGAAGCGGGATCGAGAAATCCAAACACTGTGTATTTCCGGAGCATTCTGGGCATTCCAAGATAAAGCACTGGTCAGGCTGGGAAATCTGATGCCCCTTTCAAGGGATTTTTCACCCTAAGTATGCTTGTTTTTGTAAAACACATCAAATCCCATGTCTCTTCATGAGGCAGAGAAAGAGAGGGAGAGAGATCAGCTGTCACCACCCAGATGATCAAAGAAAAGATTGCACATGGCTTCGAATGCCTCATATTCCTACATCTGATTCCAATAAAACAGGCATACAACATTAGATTTCAAACTTGGGGTGCATGTAAGCAAATGAAACAGTCGGGCAGATAAAAGGAGTAGGCGTCTATAGTCCTTTGGACACTATTTCCACCCCTGCTTGGTTCGCATTGTCAGCTTTTTCCTGCAATGTCTCTCTCTGCTAACTGTCAGCCCACCACAGTGTGAGAGATCAGAGGTGAGAGGTGATGGATCAAAACCAGAACACGAGTGGCTTAACCCCGCTGTTTGCCCCTCGCTGACTTCTACGCCCACAAAGTGAAATGTGTGCAGAGATCAGCAGGGGGGGCCTGACGGCTGCAAAACGGTTCGAACGGGGTTAAAAACAGGGTCACCGAGCAATGGTTGCCACAGCACGCCAGAGAGCTGTGAAATGTTACCGTGTCAGACATCTGTCTGTGTGGGAGACTAATGCTGCACACGTGATAATTGGTACACAGTCACACAGAATGAAGAGGTCTTTAGAAAAAATGCTGAAAAAGGACACCTGGAACCAGTTGTCTGACAACTTTTAATCACTTCTTACGGATTTATGTAAATTTTTTTAACAAATATTAGGTCCAAATTTTAGAAAATACAATTTTGGTTTCAGTAAAAATGGGTTAAATATTGTTTTTTATGAAAAATGTGTTGAAGGTGTGGTTCACCTTTATATGCAGTATCCCTGAAGTAAAAGCTTAGCTACATTGTTTTTTGTTTGTGGTGAAGAATAGGTCTAGTTCAAGAGAGAACATCGAAATATCCTTTGGCATGTGACCTTTCTGGATCATTTCAACATGTCTTTTTAATTAACATCACCACATTCTAACTAACAGATTATTTTTGTTTTAAAAGTTGAAGCCCTGCCTCAGTGTCAAATATTATTGCAGTCTCTGTTGGACATTTGTTCAGTATTATCCACTTTTTATCTCAACAAATCTTCCCATCATCTCTGACCAGCTTCTCCATTTCTGCAGAACAAAAGCCTCCCCACAGCAGGATGCTGCCATATGTCACCAGTACTGTCCATCAGTCATAGTTTTGTCAGAGAAATGGCTACACAGCTTGTGGAAAGCTTCAAACAAGACCTCTTTTAAAATGGCTGTCTGCTGCAAGAAAGATTTCAAGTCACAACTGAAGAGCCTCTTGGTTTCTAAAGTCTCAGATCAATTCTATTCTTATCAAGAATGTCAATAAGGTGGATTTTTATGTTTAGTTAAGTTTGAAGTTTTGATATACAATAGGGCTGGGTAAAAACATCGATTTAATCGATTTTGAATCGATTCCTTTACATTTTTGCAAAATCGATGTCTAGGGAATGAGATTGATTAATTTTATAGTGAGCCGTGTGATGTTCACATTCAAATAAGCAGGAAAGATGCACTCCAGATTGCTTCAAGCCAGACAGCTGCAAATATAGCCAATAGGTTGACTGAAGACATCAACAAACGGGGGCTGACCAGAAAACACCCTGTAGTTGTTACAGACAACGCTGCAAATATGGTTTGTGCAGTGAAGATAATGCAGCTCATGTATGTCTGCTGTGTCACGTCTGCTTGCTCGAGTGAGGCTTCACTTTTTCACTTTTTACAAACAAGTTTGCACTTTTGAGAAAGTTTTGTTCACATCTCATGTTTAAACTGTCTGATTTACAAGTTTGCACTTTGTGTTCAATGTGACAGGAAAAAACAAAATACATGAGTATTTTGAAGCACAGTTCAACCACTTTAATTATTGTAAAAACAGATTGAATCGAAATTAATCGATTTAGAACTGTATCAATCAAAATTGAATCGATTCAGGACTTTGGGGAAAATACCCAGCCCTAACATGCAATGCTGCATCACATTATCATAACTTGAGACATTGTTTTCTTTGAACATCTGCTTTAATCATTTCTACAATTTCCTTCCAGATGGGATCCTCTGTCCTATGGTCTATATGACTGTTTTATAAACTAATGTTCTCTAATAAACATCTAAGGCCCTGTGACAGATGATATATACCGATGCTGAAATTGATTTAAAGACAATATGACTAGTTATAAAAGAGATGACTGCTGGCAGCAATTGATTGCACCATTATTTAGAGGCTTCTAGGGAAAAAGGTGATAAATAGAAGTACATATGACATGTTTCAATGATCCCAAAAATAATCTAAAAACCCTGTTTCCGTTTACTCTCACTTCACCTTTCTACTTTCTATGGATTCTTCAAATATAAATCAAAAAATGAACTGAAGTTTGTGTTTATTGCAAAGCTTTTGCAGGAATCTGAAATGTTATAATTATTGCAGGTATCTTGATGTCTTCAGGTATTTTATGTGCCCACTTGGCAGCGAAATAAACAACTCTGCCCCTATAAAGTATGATTTCTTACTGACTTGGAGGCTTTTAACTCTCTACTCAGTGATAAACCTATCTGATGCCCTTCTGCTAAATGATCTTGATAAGATGGGGGGAGATTCCTTTGAATTCTGAGAGTCTGCCCCTGAGATAATCGCACACAGTGCTTTCTAATTCCTGTATATTATATGGAAAATACCTGAAGGTGCCAGGGAGCCCAACGGGCTTCAAGCGAATTAAATCCAAACACATGAGATAACAACAGTCTGCGCATGAAGGCTCACATTTTACCCCCTCTGATTGTTTACCTCTCCCTTTTTCTACATGTGACCCCACTATCCGGTTACAAAGACGACCTAAACGCAATTTGTTTCACAATACACCAATTCCGTTTTCATGTGCAAATGCCAGCGACAAGAATAGCGCAGGTGCAACATGTTCCGCACAAGCCGCTCCTGTCAGTCCCGATCGACAGGCTCCCGGATAAAAATCTCTGTCTCTTCGCACGGAGCCGATGTTTCCGCGTAGATAAGCGGCCAAGTGTGGATGGGTGCGTTATTACGCATGAGCGCCTAATGGAACCAGCGATCTCAGAATACATACAATGTCATTGTAGTCTTTGTTGATCTAGATCAGGCTGTCAACACACTTTTATCAGATTTCACCCTACAGCCTGACTTAAGAAGTGAGGCAAACAAATGCAGCAGTGAGGCACAGCATTCCAGAGCACAACTGAAACATTTCTTTGGAAACATATTTCCGTAAAAAAGAAAAAAAAGTTCATTGGAAGAGAAAAGAGGGAGAAAAGTGAACAGAGGAAAAATAAAAGCATCTAAATCAAAAGTTTAACATATTCTCCCAAAAATCTTACCTGATTTCTTTTTTTTTTTTCTCCCACAGTTTCTCTTCTGCGGATCAGATTTGTTTGCGATCACCTCTGGAGTTAAAAAAGCAAACTTCTCTCAACAGCGAGAAGAACTTGTGCGTCTTACTCCTTCTCCCTGCACACTGAATGCGATCCACTCACTCGGCCTGCATTTGCAGATTACAAGAGCTACGCCTCCTAGGTTGGTCCCAGCGCTGCGTATTGACATGGCATCACCTCCGGCGGCATTCAAAACAGGCAGCTCAGCCAGTTTCGCCCAAGAAGAGAGAGAGGGGAAGAGAAACGAGAATTTCTGCCTCTGATCCCCTCAGGACAGTTGTAAATAATAACTTATTTAAAGTTTTATAAGGATATAAATGCCGACTAATTAAAATCATGGGGCGGTTCTAGGCAGGGGCCACCGGGGGCCCCTGTAGATCATGCCCTGGCCCCTATTATGGCCCCTATGTTGAAGACATAATTCTCAAAGAAATTCTAATGATGATACACTATATTGCCAAAAGTATTTGCTCACCCATCCAAATTATTGGAATCAGGTGTTCCAATCACTTCCATGGCCACAGGTGTATAAATTCAAGCACCTAGGCATGCAGACTGTTTTTACAAACATTTGTGAAAGAATGGGTCGCTCTCAGGAGCTCAGTGAATTCCAGCGTGGAACTGTGATAGGATGCCACCTGTGCAACAAATCCTGTCGTGAAATTTCCTCGCTCCTAAATATTCCACAGTCAACTGTCAGCTGTATTATAAGAAAATGGAAGTGTTTGGGAACGACAGCAACTCAGCCACGAAGTGGTAGGCCACGTAAACTGACGGAGCGGGGTCAGCGGATGCTGAAGCGCATAGTGCGAAGAGGTCGCCAACTTTCTGCAGAGTCAATCACTACAGACCTCCAAACTTCATGTGGCCTTCAGATTAGCTCAAGAACAGTGCGCAGAGAGCTTCATGGAATGGGTTTCCATGGTCGAGCAGCTGCATCCAAGCCATACATCACCAAGTGCAATGCAAAGCGTCGGATGCGGTGGTGTAAAGCACGCCGCCACTGGACTCTAGAGCAGTGGAGACGCGTTCTCTGGAGTGACGAATCGCGCTTCTCCATCTGGCAATCTGATGGACGGGTCTGGGTTTGGCGGTTGCCAGGAGAACGGTACTTGTCTGACTGCATTGTGCCAAGTGTAAAGTTTGGTGGAGGGGGGATTATGGTGTGGGGTTGTTTTTCAGGAGCTGGGCTTGGCCCCTTAGTTCCAGTGAAAGGAACTCTGAATGCTTCAGCATACCAAGACATTTTGGACAATTCCATGCTCCCAACTTTGTGGGAACAGTTTGGAGCTGGCCCCTTCCTCTTCCAACATGACTGTGCACCAGTGCACAAAGCAAGGTCCATAAAGACATGGATGACAGAGTCTGGTGTGGATGAACTTGACTGGCCTGCACAGAGTCCTGACCTCAACCCGATAGAACACCTTTGGGATGAATTAGAGCGGAGACTGAGAGCCAGGCCTTCTCGTCCAACATCAGTGTGCGACCTCACAAATGCGCTTCTGGAAGAATGGTCAAAAATTCCCATAAACACACTCCTAAACCTTGTGGACAGCCTTCCCAGAAGAGTTGAAGCTGTTCTAGCTGCAAAGGGTGGACCGACGTCATATTGAACCCTATGGATTAGGAACGGGATGTCACTTAAGCTCATATGTGAGTCAAGGCAGGTGAGCAAATACTTTTGGCAATATAGTGTATGTGCTGCAACAGATATGGTTACTGATAGGTCCTTTGGATCTATTTCTTTCTTTTCTTTGTTTTATTAATTAATTAAAAACAATAAGGTGATACCTACAGTGGTATTGAAACAGGATCCCAAATTTCACAACCTATTCTCATTATGAGTGCGTATGAAATCGTACGAAAAGTTATGCACTGTAATTTCGTACGTTTTGGACGTTTTTTTCGTCGTATGCGCATGCAATGTTTTTTTTTTTTGTCTGCCAGCGCATGCGCACTGATATGGTTTTTTGAGGAAAAACGCCAAAAACGTACGAAATAGTGTGCACAACTTTTCGTACGATTTCATAAGCACTGATAATGAGAATATGTTGAATTTCATCTGCTCATTTTTTTTTCAAAACTAATTGCTCTCATTTTTACAGCAGTTTTTCTTAAGTTCTTATTCAGATTTTATAGAAAACGGTAATTTTAACATAAATTAAGTCAAAAATATGTAAAATTCCATAATTATGAATGTTTATTCACCTAATAAGAAATAGAATTTCAATTAAACCTAATTTAATAAAAAATTTCACTTCATGCAGCTATCTTAATATATTTGAATCACTTGCCCTCTTTATTTTTCACACTTTTCTGTGCCCCCATGAAAACACTCTGGCCCCCTTCTGGCCCCCTGGAACATTTGGTCTAGAACCACCTCTGATTAAAATATATCGAAAAGTAGAATTACTAAGTCATTCAAATCTAAAAGATGAAATAAAGATGCCTAAGGTTTTAAGCTGACCCAAAATTAATTTTATGAGAATATTTAAAATACTATATAATGCAAATCAGAGAAACAACCAGAGACACACGAGGAGGACAAGCAGAATTTCAAAGAAAGGGCTGCACACTGATGGAAAGTTAAATGAGAAGACAGTGTGTGCCAAAAAACTATTAAAAAGCAACACAGATCATTACAGAGAAAATTGTGAAGCAAAAACTATTGAAGAGTTTGGGGGAGGTTTAGAAGGTGTGGATGTGGCCGCCTTTGAAGCTTCCAGCACACACATAGATCAGGTTATACTCATGAAAAAGTAAAAAGGAATCTGACATTAATTATCAGAAAAATAATGAATTTGATAGTTTAGATTGGATAAACAGCTTTAAATCAAACTTTTGCATCGTTGGGATGGTGTATGCCGGGGTCATTCTTTGAGTGCAAAATTCAGCTTATAAGGGAAACCTAATCTGGGGTGCTTTTCATGATGAAAAATGACACTGGATTTATACATCAGTAATAGATGAAAAAAAAATAAAGGTATTGCATATTTCATAAAGTAAAATAGATAATTATGAAGCTCTTTAGAATGTAAGTAGATATTTGGTTTTCTTATTGATCTTATATGGGGATAAATAACAATTTGATTTTTATGGTATTGCATTGTCAGCTTTATAAGGTCGTCTTCAGTCTGCCAATATATTTACATTGGTCTGTTTGTGTGCTCATTGTGTATGTGGGTCTATGTTTGTGTTAGGGTGGGGATGTGTATTTGTGTAATTATTTAGTCTATGGCAATTTTTGGGGTAAAGTTTTTAATAGTGAAAAGCACTTGGAACTACATTAATTGTATTAAGGAAGAGGGTAAAGTAAATAATATGTTTTCTTCTTTCTGCACCTTTTTATTAAGTTCTATCAGAGTTGTGCTTGAAAGTTTACCCTTGTGAATTATAAGAGGACAATCTGACTCAGTTTGCAAACATATCAGTCCTGATTCCAAGGTGGAACGCTTGAGTAGCACAGAATCCTGTTTGCTTTCAGTCCAGTTAGAAGTTTCCACAAACTGATGATTTTTGGGAGCCATTACTGCTGTTGACTCTCTGCAGTTTATAAAGCCAAAGTCAGCACAGCTGTCTACCAGCAAATTATAAAGCACCACATGTTTCTCTCCTAAATGTCCTTGAGATACTGATATAATTTTCTAACAGGACTTGGCACATTTCCACACTGCAAAAAGATTCAATAACTGTCTGCAGTAAGTGATTATGGCAAGAGGTCATAAAGATGAGAGACCAGAGCTAACAATGAGGACAAACTAAAGAAGATTCACAAGTTTATTCCTGGCCATAGGATCTGTAGCACAGAGTCTTCATCGTCCTCTCTTTCTGCCTGTTTTTTTCTTGAGTTGTTTTAATGTTTGCTTGTTTGTTGCTTTTATAGATGTCTGCATTATCATGCAATATGCAATGAAAATGTATATTATTTCTTAAATACAGTACATGAGTTTAATATGCAATGAAAATGTATATTATTTGTTAAATACAATATATGAATTTAACTTTCTTTGGTCTACTAAATTAGTAACACTGAGAGAACATTTAGAAATCCCGTCTCCTACCCATATAGATCTAGGTATAAATCATAGTTTGATAATTATGAAATACGATTTTTTTTTTTTTTTTTTTTTTTACAGAACATCTAGAGTAGCAATATTTAAGGACACAGTAACCAAACATCAGGCCTTAAACAAGTAATACTCTTTGGGCCAAAGGGTTGCAATACACTTTCCCCAGCGACTAGACGGGGGCAACACTTTGTATGTACTCCCATGAGGGCCCCACCCTAGTTTGTCTAGATATGAAATCATAGTTTCAGTAAGCTAGTGAACCATAGCGATGTTCTTCCTCCACCCAAAACCAACAAACAGGTTAAACCCAACAACCACTCCCACAGAAATAACGGATACCTCCCCCTGAATAACGGACAGAGGGGATCATTTTACCCTCAATTCTTTATTCATGTAGTATTTTGACATATACAGTACAGAACACAAGTTTGGACACAATGCAGAGTGAAAGCAAAAGGGCCGACAAGTGCTAAGAATCTCTGGGAACTCCTTCAAGACTGTTGGAAGACCATTCTAGGTGACTACCTCTTGAAGCTCACCAATAAAATGTTAAGAGTGTGCAAAGCAGTAATCAAAGCAAAAGGCGGCTACTTTAAAAAAACCTAATATATAAGATATATTTCCAGTTGTTTCACACTCTTCATTCATAGTTTTAATGCATATATATATATATATATATATATATATATATATATATATATATATATATATATATATATATATATATATATATATATATATATATATATATATATATATATATATATAGCACCAGATGCTTGCTTTTTCTGTTTTATTTCAGGGCCATTCTTTTGAGGCTGCACATAAAGCCTTTGAGAACTCACCTGCAGTTTTGTTGGCCTCACAGCTGCTTCCGGCTGGGCAATTAACCCCAAGTTCAATACAAAGAACGGATCACAAAGGGAAGCAGAGCTGTGGAATTCCAGATCACAGTGCGGTGAGACACAGTGTTTGTCGGGTCAAATAAGGATAACAAACTTTCATCAAGTTCTGCAAAATAAATAATATCATGTTCAAAGAGTGAATTATTGATGTAACAAAGGCGAGCTTTTTATATTAA